CACCGTGATGTCACCGATAGATTTGCAATATTCTGTTTTCATCTTAGCAAGCTTAGCATTTTGGGAACAGACATCACATGAACTTCATGTTTTGATCAGTAAGACCTGAAACTATCAACTAGGCCCAAAAACGTTTGAACGTGTTTACTGAAACCCTCAAAAATTGGGCCTTTCTTTGACAGTGGAGCCGAGCTTTAAGAGTCAATCACCAAAAAGATGTCTTTATTCCAACATTTATTAGGAATATATAATATATATTAATTGATAATATATAATTCTGATTCTGAGGATTTGCAGTTTTTCTTTGTCTAGTGTGATGGTAACACACTTTTTTTAGGGATGAGCTTAAGACATGACGCCATCATAAGAAGACATGACAAAGTCTTCTTGTCACAAAGTCACAAATCTTTGTGAATGTTTATGATTGTTGTCATTAAGTGTCACAATGTCATTTTTATTACAAAGTTACATTGATTGATATGTCTTTGTGATGACAGCTTGACATTAACCAGGACAACGTAAACCTGTCATAAACATGGCGTACCGGGTCAAACTTGAAAAAGTGTCTCACTTTTTGCATTACATCACATTACATTACATCACACATCACACTGCAGGAGCACCAATGTAAAAAGCCAAAACACAAGTTGCCTGTCAGAAAAGCTGAATCAAACTAGAATGCCATGCAGGCCTCATCCAACAAGGGGCTGCATTGGTTCTGTCAATTCCCAGTTTTATCCAATCTAGGAAGCTAAGCAGAATCAGGCTTGGTTAGTACTTGGATCCTTGAGTGTCTGGTGCTGATACCAGGTGCTGTAAGCTGGAATTTGATTGGGTAACGTGGGTTGTCCTTTTATTGGAGGGTTAGTGGATGAATCTTCAGCCCACCTGGTCTGTATGTCTATGGGTGCTTGAGCAAGATACTGAGCTAGAATAAAGCACTGGAGCACCTCAAGGTGCGTAATATTGTAAGGTAAAGTGCTTCATTCACTGCTTCACAGTTAATGGGTTAAATGCAGAGAGGAATTCCCCCACAAGGATCAATAAAGTATACATTATTATTATTAAAGATACTACAATAATACAGAGAAAATTCCAACAATCAAATGACCCCCTATGAGCAAGCACTTTAGCAACAGTGGGAATAAAAAACTCCCTTTTAACAGGAAGAAACGTCCAGCAGAACCAGGCTCAGGGAGGTGCAGCCATCTGCTGCGACTGGTTGGGGGGGAGGCGAGGGAGACAAGGCAAAAGGCACACTGTGGAAGAGATGAATAATAGCTCCATGTTTCTACTGTTACATCACCTTCATTGACTGAATCTCAAAATGCTTGAAACGCATCAATTCATCATTCGAACTGAACTTCTGTTACTACATTTTATTGTCTCTTAGTATTTGAGGCAATTTACCCGAGTGTGGCAACCCACTGAATTTTTTTCCAATTTGATAAGTGAATTAGTATAAATGTTAATTTATCATTCACGTGTTTTTCAAGGATAATCTCCAACAGCAACAAATGATGGGCATGGCCTCCCAGACGGGAACCTCCCATTCCTCCCTGGCCACCACGCCTCCCTCCACAGTCCAACCTATGCGGCAGAGTTCTGTTGCTCCGCCTCCCACCCAGCGTGTCAAATCCCAGACCTCCCATCAGCTGTCCGTCAGTGCAGCTGCTGCACCCTCTGCTCCTGCAAAAACTAGGCCGCAAAGCGGAAACCTTCTCCAGTCGCCAGAATCCGGCTACGGCAGGCAGCATGGGCCCCGGCAGCTCTCCGTCAAAGACAACACTGCCCCGGGCCTGCCCCACCAGCAGAGCTCTGTCAGGGAAAGCCAGAGTCCACAGGGAACCACCAGTCAGAGCACTCAACAGTCACCACAGCAGCAGCCTCAGCAACAGCAACACCTGCTCAAACCCACTATGAGCAAACAGGTAACTGCTGCACACTCTCCTAATATCTAACTTTCCTATTTTTTTTTTCTTTAGCACCTGTGCTCACAGCTATTTCTCAACAACAACGTGTAAGATGTCAGTGTTTAGCTTATCTAGGGGATAAAACTGACATTCAAGATTAAGAGCTTGGGAGCCACCAGGGCTCAGCCATGCTCAAAATGTATGAACTCGTGTAGCACTGAGGCATTTTGGGTAACATCGTGCACCAAATTTATGCAAGTGACTTTCACTCAATTAAAAATTCATGTTCTCATATACAGTGTGCTGACCTTTCTTCCCAGGGTTCCCAGTCTCCATCTACCCTCAATCCCCCAACGCCAGCCAATGAGCGGACGGTGGCCTGGGTCTCCAACATGCCTCATCTGTCCGCTGACATTGAAAGTTCTCGGATTGACCGTGAGGAATTCAAACTTAAGGAGTACTCAAAAAGCATGGATGAGTCACGCATGGATAGGGTAGGTTTAATTTTTAACTATTTAATTAACATTTCAGTTGAAGTCAGAGGAACATTGAGTTATGTCTGTCATTTCTGAGCAGATGGCACTCAGATTTGATCTTGACACAGAAGTCCAGAGGTCTCAAACTGTGGGAAACAAAAGCCATGAGCCAAATGTTCAACTTGTTTGCATTATTTTTCTTTTTCTGCAGTTTGGCATATTTACTGTACCTCAGCCTTTGTAAAGGCAGCCGGCCTAATTTTGAATATCTGGAGGTGGTTTCAAATGCTTTCATGAATGTGTTTAGAGAACTCAAATCCACCAGGCACTGCAGTGACCAAGAAAGCAAGGCATGTACGCACCAGCGTCGCAATAAACTGCTCTAATTTAGCATTATTTTCACATCTCTACCTCAGGTACGGGAGTACGAGGAGGAGATCAACTCCCTGAAGGAGCGCTTGATGATGTCCCACAAAAAGCTGGAGGAGTATGAACGGAGGCTCCTCACGCAGGAGCAGCAGACCAATAAGATCCTCCTACAGTACCAGAATCGTCTCGAGGACAGTGAGAGGAGGCTACGGCAGCAGCAAGTGGAGAAAGACTCCCAAATTAAAGGAATAATTAGCAGGTAAATGGAAGCTGTTGTTGGGATGGAGGGAAAAGACTTGTGGTCTTGTATAAGGAGGCCATTGGTGGGCCATAGTCTTTCTTTTTCTTCTGTTACAGGGTTTTTGTGGAAAAAGGACCTTTTCTATAAAATTATGATTGCTAGCATTAATTAAAAAGACTTCTTATACTTCTGCGGAGGACTCCACAGTACGGCGTTAGCATATTGGATTCTGTTTAACAGGATGAAACATGAAAATGAAGCAGTTGTTACTGGCAATATATACATTGCACATCGGAATAAGACTCTATTTACCAGAGGTTGTTATCTTGAAAAGAATATTACAAGATAAGGAGATTGGTTTCCGTTTCATAAAGCACTGTAGCCTATGAGGAAGGATGGGAGCTTTATATTGAAAGCCAAAGCTGCAGACATGTAATGAGTGGCAAATTAAATAATAGACTGTAATACAGAAGACAAAGATCTTTATCTTAGATAAGCATGCAGGAGATGTTCCCGTGGTGGTTGTTTCTTCAGCTTAGTTAAGCTGGACAAAAGAGTCTTTGATTGTCCTCTGAGCTCTTGCCGTAGCAAATTTAAATGCGGTCATAACCTCACAACATGCTTTATTTGTTATTCAAGAGCATCATATTTGGACAACTGCAGAGAACTCCAGCTGAGCCCTAATTTCTCGAGTGCTTGTGCAAAATTGTAATGGGGCTTTTATTGTCAGTGCAGTCTTAACTTTTATTGATCACTCACAAATTAAGCAGTTCATGGAAAAAAGGGTTGAGTATTGATCGTGTCTCAGTTGTATTTTTCAGGCACAAAAAACAAATATTTGCTGGGTTTTAAGGACTCCGTGAGCATTTTACGTGTGACCGCATATTAGCAATGGTGCCCTGCATTTAATTTTGTTTTTATTTTTCAGTGAAAAGACACTTAAAACTACATGAAAATATTGCAGTATTTTTACATCTTATAATAGTCTGTGGTCTGCAACTGAAGGGTGGATAACTGTGACAGAGAATATTGCCACTTCTAATCCACTCCAGGAAAGAAGACTTGGAATGAAGACAGAGAGTCCTGCTCGTCTTTTATGGAAAAACATCTTAAAAGGCCTAACCTTGTATATAACCACCATTAAAACGTCCTCCTTTATCCTGCGCTGTCACACTCACCATCAGCTGTTTGTTTATGAACAAAGTTCTGGATTTTGGGATCATGCAGGATGATTCCAGTTAGATGAATTTTCAAATGATTCTCCCACGAGATTGCACTGTAAAAGCACAAAAGGATGGGGAGTTGTAAAACTTCAGAAACATGTCTGCACTTTTTAAACCAACTCAAAGAATTGTTTTGGACCTTCGGGCACCGGACTATGGAAGACCATGGTTTAATATTAGCTCTTCCATTTTAAATCAAGGTGAACCATGTTCACTGAAGGACTGCTGATGGGTTTTTTTTACCTCTCCAGAGTGAACATGGGGACTAATACCTCTTTTAACAACACATGATGTGAAATGAAGAGGGGAGAACATCAGAGACAAACCTGAATCAGTCAGTGAATGGTGAAGATTCAGGTATAAAGGCATAAATGAGCTATGCCCTATACTACAGAAACTTTGTCAGAGCACTTAAAGCAAAACCCTTGATTACTGCTCCCCTGAAGTTAAAGCTTAAGGAGAGTGCTGTACACATGAAGCACAACGTGCAGTTATTAGCTGCTGTTTTCAAGGCTTAAACTTGTAACTTTTGGGACCTTTATCATCTGACCACACAAGGATGAATTACAGTAAGTAGCAGATCTGGATGCTTCCGAGTCAATTTTACACACAATTCACTGAGCCAGCCCAGGTCATGCAGAGCATTGCAGATCTAATGCACACACACGAGCAATGCAAATAATGTAGAGGGCGTCCTGTTGATTGGACTTCAGAATATCAGTGAAATAACAAGTGCAACCATAGCCTTATGTTATGTTTCACCTTAAATTGAGTTTTATGTTCAATTTTCACATTCAGATATATAAACATATATATTTACATATATATTATGTTGATGCAAAAGCAAGCTCAGGTTCTGCTAATGGAGCCCTTAGTTGTGACCTTAATTTCATGGCTCCTATGTAGGCTTGGAAAAAAAAACCAACTCTTTATCTGCAGACCTAAAATACTCAGCGTTATGTTTCAAGTTTGAGAGATATTTTTTTTCAGAGAAGCCTTAATGTTCTGTGCATAGAATTTGCTTTAAGCTCAGAGCAAATCCAACCTATGTCATTAGACCAGGTACACATTTTGTTCTCAACAATCTAATTTAAACCAAAGCCGAATATTGAGTTTTAGGTCATGCTAGGTTAAACACTGAATCCACTTTACCTGTAGCACTTGTATTTTTATTTTTTCTTTAGGGTAGTTATTCCATTAGTTGGCTACAGGCTCTCATATTTTTTTGTCAAAATACTTTAATTTTAAATATGAATGAAACTATTTATCTTCCCCGAGCTCTTTGCTGTGAACTGAAGAGATTTATATTGACGAGATGCATTGAATTTGCAGCAGAAAGGGGGGAGGGGACTTAATGGTCTTAATTGCACCTGTCATAGTAATAATCTATTTTAACTATAACCCATAGCATAGTAAATTCAGTAATGCAAGAGCCATAATAATAGTAGTATAAGAAATGTGATGTATATGAATTCTATTGAGAGTGAGATTACTATTTTAACCTTGCAATAGCTAACTTTTTAGCAGGAGAAGCGCAATAACAGATGCAGTATGTATCTGCGTGTGCTGTTTGTGCCGAATGCACATGCAGGATCCTGAGGAGGTGTATTGTATGCATCTTGTGTAGATAACGAAACAGTGACTTCCTGCCAAAATCTTTTACCAGGTGCCATCTGCAGTATCTAAACATACAAAATATAGACCTGGAATACTGTAAAATGCAAAACACCACAGAGACAACATGACGACAATGACGTGAGCTTTTGACAGCAGTATGTTCTGCAAAATGTGTTCTTAAAGCCTAAGTTGGGGGTTTTTTCTATTGTTTATGGGTTGTTTTTTCTTTTTCTTTTTTTTTTTGATGACCTGTATGGTGCTTGTGAACTTATCTGCATTTTAAATGAAAGATTGAAATTTATATTATTTATTAATTAAAGCAAAACTGACTTTCTCATCTCTGTATGATTTTTGCTGTAAATGCTTGGTATGATTTTGTTTTTGACCTGCAGTCCGTCATTGGTGGTGTCCGGTGACGTGGTGATCAGAATAGTTGTTTAAGAGAGTTAGACTGTCATTTAACTTATGCACTTAAAATATGATTTAAGTATTAAAAGGAAAAAACATATTCTTTTCTATTTATTTTCCCTCTCCAGAGTCTTAGATAATATTCTGGTGTCAGTATACCTGCCTCTCTTTGTAGCAAGAATATATTGATAGGCTGTATAGATTGTACAACAGCAAAAATTATGTTTAAATCTTGCAAATGAATTCATAGTGGTGATGAGTTTTGGCTTGATGTGTGTGTGATTGACATGGCTTGTAGCAACAGCCAAGGGTTTTTGCTCACTTTTATATAGACCTGTGTCAAACAGTTGCGTTGTTTATTTTAAACAAATGCACTCAAAGAGGAATTTGGTTGAATGTGCATTTTAACCGCATCCATTTGGATTGCATAGTTTTTACATAAATAAACAATGTGATAAATTCGATGGGAGGCATATCCGTCAGTCAAATGTAAGTCAAACATACTGCTTTTTAAATGCATATTAACATGCTGTTCTGTACTGGGGACTTGTGTTGATTGCATGGTTGTTTTTGTATATTTAAAACACTTTTAGTTTGCTTGTTTCGTTTATGTTTGACTGACAAAAAGACATTGCTTTAATTTATGTTAAAATGATTTGTAATGTGCGATTAAAGTGCAGAGTAAGCTCAAATATGTCACGAGGTTGGGTTAAACTTGCTGTATCAACACAAATTAGATGTTATCAGGTAAGTTTACAAAAAATAGAGAGCATATCTGCAGCTGCTGTTTGACCCAGGTCTGTCTTTCCTTTTGCTTTTCATTAACTTTACATCCTATTTGACACCTTTTGTCTTTTGCCTTTTTCCTCTGTAGCAAAATATTCAGACTTTGTGACCTCATGTTGGTACATACACACATTGTTTTGACTAAATGTACGACTTGACCTCAAAAGCACACTACTTGAAGTACAACTGGATATATAAAGCTTAACTTCTTTTTTCCCTCTTCTTTTTGTAACATATCACCCACATGAATCATTGTCTGCCTTTTTGGAGTCATGTCAGAATCTTAATGCTGTATGCCCATGTTACATTCCATTGTTTTTTGGGACAGTGCTAATATTTCTGTGTGTGCTTATGATTGACTCTTTTCTTTTCCTCTTCTCTTCTTTTGTAAAAAATAAAAACAAACTCTCAACATTGTACATTATTTATGGAATAAAACATCCAAACGCTTATGTTTGAAACTTCACCTGTGGATTTTCGTTCTTTATTGTCAAACACGTGCCTCTGTGGTCTTAATAAAGTGATATGGATGTGGTGGAGGGGACTAGCTTTGAGTGACACAGTACGACTTGATTTGTGGTGTATTTATTTCTGCATGGCGCCAATTAAATGTTCCTGTCAACTATTTGATTGGATTAGTGGCTTAATGAATGCACAAGTGACAATCTTCCACCTTGTTTTACTTTGACAAATTGACATGCGTTTGCAAGATTACTCAATAGTTGACTATTATAAAGGGATAACATTCCAACAGTCATGTTTCATGTTAAGAAAATAAAGGATGTTTATTCTTCTGCTGTCAGCTACGATTAAAAAAATGTAAAACATGGAAAATCATGAAGGCAATGCATTGAAGTCTATGATGTTGAGAGGTCTTTCTTTATTCACGGTAACTTCTACTTGGCATTTACACCAAATGACAATATCCACAATCTAGCCAGTTGGCCAAGTAAGTGTAAGATAACGCTTTGTGAGAAATATCATTGAATGACTCTATCCCTGGCACTTGAATAATCATGAAAGCTGGGAAACCTGCACTGTTTGCTGGCTCATGAAAACTGCAGCCGGACTCTCGCTCGTATCTGCGAGCAGAGTCTTTGAAATGATTAGTCAAAGGATTTTTCCGCCCGTGCCTTGGTCAGTCCATGTTACGCAAGATGGGAAATTCCCTGGGGATGATGGGGATCAGTTACTGAACATTCACGTCACATAACCGGGTGTAATTTTCCACTGTTGGCTGTAATTGCGCTTTGAAAACACCTTAAATTGGGAACAAATACTTTGATAAATCCCATGGGGACAAAACAAGGCTCCACCAGTGAAAATTGGCAGTGCCTCATAAAGCACGGCTTACGTTCCTGCTGCTCAGTGGCTCAAAAGATTGTGCTTCCTATCAGTATTTGAGATTTAGATTTGAGATACAGGAGATCAGCATCGTATCACTGTGATGTCGTTGAGCCAGATGTTGGAGATGCATCTGCTCAACATCTTGTTAAGTATCATTTTGAATTCATAATACTCCCTCTCCTTCTGTCACCCCCCCTTCCCTACTTTCTCTCTCCCCCTCTCTCTTTCTCTGCTTCCAAGACTCATGGCTGTGGAGGATGAGATAAGAGGAGGAGCCATCCTTGAGCCAAAAACCAGGATTTTCGCTGATCAGGTCTGTGAGATTGCTTCTTCTGTCGTCGAGTTCGTACGGTGGCCCGTGCTATCTTCTTTCTCCATCCTACCTCTCTTTCCCCCCCCTGTTATTGATATGATTTCGTTTGCTGTGTGTATGTGGTCCCTCTGATCTGCCTCTGCCTTGCCCTGTCCCTGACCTGTCCTGTTTGGGTTTGACTGCCATTCGTCTGCCAACATACGCGGGGGCTTTGAAGATGAAAGATGAAAGAATGCTGTTGTTTGTATTCTTAAGCTCAAGCTATCAAGATGTCTGACTCTAGCTGGGTTTGTGAACGTATCTGGGTTTGTGGTGATGTTGCCAGTTTTGTAGTTGCTTCTGTGAAACCTTTCTGCCGAGCATGTTGGGGTTAAAACTCCTGGTGGCTCCCTTTCGCACAGATTACTGAACAGCTGAAGCTCACGTCTTACTGTATTGTACGCTGCGTGATGGTGGTGCTGTGTCTTCGGGAGCTCTACTTCCTCAGTGCTTCTCATTTCATGCCTCAAACCCACCCCCTTCCTTATCCTGCCATCCTGTCAAATTGAGCAAGCCCACCTTCAAGCATGAGTCATATGAGTTGATATATATATATAACTCAAATGTAGAAATATTATTGGAACATGATCTTTGCTGTGTTGTTATCTTTAATGCTGTGATCTGTACAAGTTTTGCTGATTTAATTAAATGTAAATATATTGCTGTATAGCTTGTAAATTTGCCTCAGGGATCAATGGAATCACCTCAAGGAGATTACATCATAATTTGTCAACTTATCTCTCTTATAAATTAGATTCTATAGTAAATTTATCAATTAAGTGTAGCTGAGTAATATATATTAATACCTTATATGAAGTTGTATGACATGGTACATGCGTAGAACTTACCTTTTACACTTATTTACTTTGCAAGATTCAAGAGTGTTTCTTGTCATTTCGGATGCTATTTACAGAAGTACACAGGCTCAAATGAAATGTTTCTCAGCAGCCTCTATAGTGCAATAAAAATAAAATGCAATATTAGGTGCAAACAATCATATTCATTCAGTTAGCGGCAGTTCTTTCACAGAGAGGGATTAAATTAGATGAGATTTGAGACCAAGTAGGCTAATTCAGCCCCATAAAGGGCCCAGGAAATTTAAAAGTTGTTTTGTTACCATGCAAAATACTTTATATGTTAATGGAGTGTGAAAAAGTAAAGATATTTTTTCATTGTAGTAGGTAAGTAAGTAAAATGTATTTATAAAGCAAATTTCACAGATAAAAATCTCAAAGTTCTGGCTTCAGCTGCTGTAGCAGTCAGTGTCACGTCTGACACTGATTTGTATGGTTTCTGTGTTACTATGTCTAACGTAGCCGTGGCTTCACCCATGAACTCTGGTGTGACTCACGTAACCTGGAAATTATACCATGAAAAATATGAAGAATTGCGAATGTTGTGTCCCATTTGCAGCATACTCATTTGTGGAGCACTGAAATTGTCAAAAAAAAAACAAAAACAAAAACATAATTTATTCGTTTCCAAAAAGACATGAAATACACAAGAATATATTTAAAAATAATTGGAGGATTGTGAGGTAGAAAATTTCATGAATTCTCAAATTTTAGTAATTTAACACAAGAGTTTTGTTGCTAATCCAACATGATAAGAACTATATAAGGCATTACAATTTCAGGTGCTGTACATATAAATTTAAATGCATTAAATTCTATTCTGATCATTGAATGAAGGAATAACTCTTTACTTGCCAATTTCCAAGTAATTTCCTTTCAATCAGTAACCCAACTTGACATGTTCCTTCATTCATTAGGTCATACTTTTGAATTGTCACTCATTTAACTGCATGAAAATTTATTTTTAAAAAATGCCTCATTGCAGGTTTCTAGTTGACCTTTCGAGGTGCAGAGAGTTGAAAATAATAATAAATTAATAATATGCCAAAAGAGAAGAGCTGACAGACGCTCCGAGTGTCACTCTGGTGGTCATGATTACAGCTGATGTGACCGTTATATGTTCTGAGAATGTACTGTATACAGCACAGTATTTCACTGTCTATATGGATTTATAAACCTGTGAGTTTGGACTGGTGTTGGAGAAGTTATGTTTCATATAAACCAAATTTGGTGCCAGATGGATAACACTATTTAGAATTTGATTTACTGCAGATTTTTTAAAATATTAAGAAGAAAAACAAAGAAAGAAAAACCCAGGACTTTTAGGAGCACAATGAATCATGATAAGTCATGGTCTCTGTCAGCAGAAAAGATGTATTTTGCTAAAAGTACCAAATTATATTTCTATAATCACAAGAAAAGTTTTCTTACAACTACAGAATTACAATCAAGCTGCAAAAGAGAAAAAAAAGGAAAGAAAGAAAAAATATGCAAACGTATTCATGTATTCAGCTCATTCAAATTTAAAAATTCTAATTTATCCTTATATTTAAACATTTACAGCGCTGCAAAAAAGTATCTATGCCCTTCTTAATTTCTTTTTTTTTTGTCACACTTACATATTTCAGAGAATCATATATTAGAATGCAATAGAATAGAATAGCCCTTTATTGTCATTGTACAACGAAATTATGGCTGCTCCATGGCAACTGTGCAGGAATAATATATAAATAGTAAGACAACCGGAATAAATAACAAACAGGTGAAATCTTTCCAAACTACAGGAATATATACAAAATGCTTGGAAGTAGTGCAGAGGACTTGGTCTGAGTATAAGTACATATGCGTGGCCTGAGTGATGGGGGTTACTCAGACCATGGCTCACCGTGGGGTGTGGGGGGGATAGTGTTTGTTGACAGGGGAAGAGGCTGCTTCGTGGTCTGGGCGTGTGGTACTGACCAGTGAACAGCAGATCAAACAGGTGGTGGGTGGGGTGCAAGGAGTCACCTGTGATGGCCCTGGTTTACCTGAGGCAGGAGGATCTGGCGATGGCCTCCAGGGGTAGTAGAGGGCAGCCAATGATTTTTGGGGGGGCGGTGTTAATAACCTTCTGCACAGCCTGCCTGTTCTCAGTCATGGCCCCTGTATACCAAACACCCAGACAGGAGGAGAGGGTCCAGGTGAGATCAGCAGAGATGTGGGCGCCCAGGAGAATAATTCCAGCTGTTCTCCATTTATAATCAGGGGCGAGTGGACCTGTCTGTGCCTCCTGTCCATTATGAGTCCTTTGGTTTTAAGGACATTCAGCTTCAGGTTGTTTTCTCAGCACCAATGGGACAAGTTCTCTAACTCTGCCCTGTACGCTGTCTCATCTGCATCAGAGATGAGCCCAACCACAGCGTCATCAGCATACTTGACGATGACATTGGTTGGGTCAGTTTGGTGTACAGTCATAGGTGTACACAGGGTGTACGTGTACACCTAGGTGTACACCTATGGGCTGAGAGCTGGTGCTGAGTGGCAGTGAGAGCAGAGGTGGTGGCTGAGTCTAAACCTAATAACTTGTTGTCCCATCCTTGGCAGCAAGAACTCCAATGTGATAACTGACAATGAGTCTTTCACATCACTTGGAGGAAGTTTGGTCCACTGTTCTTTGCAGAATTGTTTTAATTGAGCCACATTGGGGGGTGTCCAGCATGAATGGACTGTGCACGGACATAACAAAGTATCTCAATCTGATTTAAGTTCTGACTTTGACTAGGCAAACTCCAAACCTTTTGGGATAATTTTCCTGTTGCATAACCCAAGTGTGTTTGAGTTTCAGGGCCTGAACTTACCAATGCGAGTCACAACTTCCAAAACATTAAACCTTTGTCTCGTCAGTCTACAG